CCTTCAAGATATAACAATCATTTATATGGGGAGATTGGATTGTCTATCTATCAGTGCATAACAGTCTAAGAAAAAAATAAAAATGCATTCTCTATAGTTCTTGTATGAGTAAAACGGTGTGTAGTAAAGTAAGTAAGGAACATCTAAAAACAGTAAACCAGTCCTGGGAAAGGAAATGCTGTCATTGTTACTTTAGATCCACAGCAGTTTGTTCAAATACTTGGTTTACCAGTCGATTACCCTTCATTACTGCTTAATAGTGTTATTTTAACTTTTGCCTTCTCATATTTCCCAATGAAGCATGAAAAAGCATAAACAAACCAAAGAAAATGATCAAGAATTTAATTTAATTCAAGCTAGATCCACTTACTGTAGCTGCATCTGAACCAAGATTTTTTTCCCATACATATTTCTGATCACATGTATATAAACACCCACCTAATAAATATTTATTAATCTAGGAACCTCAGCAAACCCGTCCACTTTCCATAACCATTTGTGCTGTGCAGAGGGTTGTGGGGGGTCCGGAGCCTGTTCCAGAAGCTACGGGTGCAAGGCAGGGAATAAACCAGGACAGGGGAGCCAACCCGTGGCAGGGCACACTCACACACCATTCACACACACACTGTTTCACACCTACAGACAGTCTGACAGCTCCAATTCACCTCAGCATGTTTCTCTACTGTGGGGGAAAACCAGCAACGCAGAGGAAACCCCACGGTGACAGAGGGGAGAACATGCAAACTCCACATGTGGGAATTTTGAAGACACAAACACAATTTTGTGCAATTACGTTGACGTTTGTTGAACTTGAGATTAAGATCAAAATGAATCTTCTAACACGGTTTATTTTAATACTGCATGTTCAATAGATGGCTGCATGGTGGCTCGGTAGGTAGCACTGCTGTGTCACACCTGCAGGGACTGGGATTTGCATCCCGGCTCTGTGTGTTTGGAGTGTATGTCCTCTATGTCATATGAGGGTTCCCAGTTGGGTATGGCATTTTCCTCCAAGACTATAAAGAGATGCAGTGTGGTTATTCTGTACCTATAAACTGCACATGTATGAGTCTGTGTGTCTCTATTATATTAATATTACCAAATGTTCCCCAAAAAACTAAAAATGCCAAAAGTCTTTTTGGTTACTTATGGTTAAGGGTAGGTTTGCGTAGGGGTTAAGGTCGTCGTGTTGGGATTAGAGTTTTCCCCACAGAAATGAATGGAGAGTCTCCACAAAGATATACTGTAATTACAAACCTGTGTGTGTACAGTATGTGTGTGCGAGCGGGTTTACCTATCCTTATGGGGACACAATGTCCCCATAACGTGATAAATATCCATATTTTTCCCCTTATGGGGACTGGTTTCCTGGTCCCCATAAGGGAAAACTCTATTTTATAAAAATCGGTGACTGCTATGAAAAAACTAAAAATGCAAAAACTCTTGTATTTTGTTAGGTTACTTATGGTTATGGTTAGGGCAGGGTAGGGGTTAAGGTTGTCATAGTTAGCATTAGCATTTTTCCCATTGAAATGAATGAGCGGTCCCCATAAGGATATGTTTACCCTACATGTGCGTGTGTGTGTGTGTGCGTGTGTGTGTATATACCCTCTGACAGACTGGCATCCTATCCAGAGTACACCCCTGCTGTGTGACCTACACTACTTCGAATAGGCTCCAGGACCCCTGGGACCCTGATGGGTGGATGTTTGACACAAGACGTTTGAGCGAAGGGATCAAGCACCAGTCAAATGCTCCATATAATCAAAGGTAGTTGAGGTACTGTACATTAATACATTGATGTTAGTATACACACTTGAATTTCCTCCTATGTACTTTGAAGGACATTTTTTGAAGGGTATGGCCTGGTTGATAAGCAATGATGCCATATCCTGATATGAGTATGTATCTGATTAGAATATTTATGTTTTTTTTCCTCAAATAATGTGGAATATTAATATTTAAAATTCTGTCTTATACCCTGTATTGTATCTCTATTTGTGGAAGATGAATGGAGAGTTGGATTGAAGTATCATGTGAATAGACTAATTTACTTCTATTTTTTCTGTTAGCTGCATAAAAATGTAAATAACTACCCTGCTAAGTCATGCATTAACTTTAGCTAAGTTAAGATTAGCCATGCACCATAGGTTTGAGTAATATAGCTAAATTGCCACAGAAAACAGCCTAATTATTTTCTGCACTATTTTAAATTTCTTAAAATCACATCATCAGTGTTAATAGCATCTTGTTCTTAACATCCACAATCCTTTGCGTTTTTCCAAAATGTTTTTGGACTTTCTGAGTGGAAATGTTGTACTCTAGCAAGGTTAATCTGTCATGAAGGATGTTATTCTAAAATTACAAAATGCTAATTAATGTGGAAAGCCTGTCAGCAGACTTATCCTCTGAACAATAATAATAATGAATATTAATATTTTATTATTATCCCTGCAAAGAATGTAATGCAAAAAAATTGTCATTAGACCCCAGTGGTCCTTAATGGCTCACAAAAAATCCATTGCCTACACATTAAAATACTTCACATTTTAATATATTTAGGAGCAGTGTTGCTTGGGCCATATATTATACCCCTAGTAACCATTCAGCATAAATATCACATAAGTTATAACATACATTAACAATAACGAGTCCTGCATTGCAAGCTGATGCCAGATGGTGCCGTGCAACACTAATGGGTTTTTACTTTTTCACATTGCAAGCGTGTAATGTTTCAGTCTGCTTAAAGAAAAAAACATCAGAAAGCATATACAGTACATGACACACTACTTTACTCAAATACTCAAATAACAAGAGATAGAATACGAGTCATGAAGAGAATACACGTGATTTGTACAGTGCTATAATTGGGTAATGTCATACAATTATGGTCATTTTAAATATTAGATACTCCAGGCCAGGATTAAAGATTGGTGCTGCTTGGGTGATTCTGCTCATTATCCTACCCACACCCAGCTCACCAGAGAAGATTTGTGAAGAAAATTGTTTTCACTGAAAAAATGCACGGACTTCTACTTGATTTGTTGTGCCTCATATTGGGAAACAGGCTTTAGGAGAATCAGACTAATTTCCCAACCGGAGATCAATGACAGATTAGTATTTGAAAATGACAATTTAAAAGAATAAGAAATATTTCGGCAAGTGTTCAAATATTTTAACTGTACACTATATGGACAAAAGTATTGGGACATACCTCTCAATCACTGAATTCAGGTGCTTCATTCAGACCCATGAACATAGATGTATAAAATCAAAAGCACCTAGCCATGCAGTCAAGCTTAGAAGCATTTTTGGAAGAATGGGTTATTCTGAAGAGCTCAGTGAATGTAAGTGTGGTACAGTCATAGGATGTCACCTTTGCAATAAGACAGTTTGTGAAATATATTTCCTGTTAGATATTCCACAGTCAACTGTAAGTGGTATTATTGTAAAGCGGAAGCGTTCAGGAACCAAAGAAACTAAGTAAAGTAACAGAGAGGGGTCACCGAGGGCTGAGGTGCATAGTGAGTAAAAGTCGCCAATGCTCTGTTGACTCAACAGGTACAGAGTTCCAAACTTCCTCTGGCATTAACCCCAGCACAAAAACTATACCGGGAGCTTCATGGAATGGGCTTCTATGGTTGAGCAGCTGCATGCAAGCCTCACATCACCAAACACAATGCCAAGCATTGGATGGAGTGGTGGTAAAGCATGCTGCCACTGGACTCTGAAGCAGTGGAAACGTGTTTTGTGGAGTAACAAATCACACTTCTCTGTTTGGTAGTCTGGTGGATGAGTCTGGGTTTGGTGACAGGCCAGGAGAACACTACCTTCCTGACTGCCCTGTGCCAACTGAAAAGCTTGGTTGAGGAGGGATAATGGTATGGGGTTGTTTTCAGGTTAGTTCCAATGAAGGAATCTCTTGCTTCAGAAGACACTTTAGGCAATTCTATGCCTCCAACTTTGTGGGAACAGTTTGGCGAAGGCCTTTTTCTGTTCCAGCATGACTGTGCCCCAGTGCATAAAGCAAGGTCCATAAAGACACGGTTGGGTGAGTTTGCTGTGAAAAATGTGACAAAAATATGAAATTTAGTGAATTTAACATTTTTTTTTTTACATCAAGATTACCTTCCATGCCCTTGAAATGTGTCATGTGGTGTGGGAGTGGGAACAGGGGACCCAAATGCAAACCAAATATGTAACTAATACTCTAGATGAGATTTAAAGTCGGGGATGGAAGCCAAAGTTTAAAATCAGGGAGTTTGTCCTGGGAGTGAAAGGTGAGGCATGTGTAACCTCCTGAAAAAGGGAAATGTAAATGAGGACTCTCAGATATGATGTGGTAGCGTCACCGATATGGTATTATTTTCAAAAGTATCTACAGTACATAGGTACAAAGTTATGTTAAAAAATCCAATAATTATATGCATTCACAAAGTTATTTTCAAAACAAATCACCAGTTATATGCATTTTATGTTCATCCAGCCATCAACTCCAAATGGAATTCTCTTTTGTTTCACAGGTAAGTAGACATTAACATTTCTCACTTTTCTTAAAACGGGGTAAAATCAAATGTGACAGGTAAGTACAAAAATGGTCTATTAACCAATAAACAAACTTAAATTGAAAAGAGAGAATGTACTGAAAATAAACAAAAATAAAGAATAAATTTGTCTCGTCATATTACCTATTTCCTGTCATGGATATTTACTTAAGAAATGAACAGACAGATGAATAAGTAATGAATCACACACACAAGCATAGCAAAAACCTAATACTGCATGTGCATCTTACAGAGCTTAACATGAAAAAAATACAGACAATATGTGTTGGACTCATGCTGACCTCATGTTGTTCTGTTCTTGCCACTGGGGGAGAAGTTTTAGCTAGGCAGTTAGTAATATACCAGGGTTAACATCCATTGGATATGTTAATAAAACACAAATTACAGCACAGAAAACACATTCAACATTCTAGAGATAAAATGCTCATTCCGTACCTGAAAAAGGGGAAATGTAAATAAGGACTCTCAGATATGATGCTTCCTCTGTAGTAGCGTCACTGAGAATGAAGCATTGGACTTAAAGTTTCCCCTTCTGAACTCTGCAGACATAACTAATCAGTCATGAGCAAAAAGGCTCAACAGGTAGATCACAGGTTACAGATTCATTTTCAAGTTTCATTTTCATTTTAAAGGTTTTAACCCTGTCAACCCATTTTTAACATTTTAACCTTTTTGAACACAGGCATTTTAATCTTTTTAATGAAATGTAATTTTTATAAGACATTTTACATTTAAATTATGAATTTATCAACTGTTGATAAATGAATTCCATTTTCTCACAATGACTGTTTTTAAACTGCCATTTTACAGCTTCCTAATAAAATCAACCTATGACACAGGCACTTGTGCAGAGCCAGGGACAACTTTACAAGCCCAAACACTCAGAAGGGGCGCAGGACACATACTTGCTGGGCTGGGGATTCGGAGATACACACATTGAAACGACACAAGAAGACGCTCAGGTACATGGGGATAAGCAGGGAAGCACTGCACTGAATAACTGGACATTATTCGGAGTTTGCCCAACCAGTCTACATATGTTTTGTGGACTTGGAAAAGGCATTCGAACATGTCCCTTGGGGGGGTCCTGTGAGGGGTGCTCCATGAGTATGGGGTACGAGGTCCATTGTTGCAGGCCATCAGATCCCTGTACAAATGGAGCAATGGTTTGGTTCACATTACCAGCAGCAAGTCAGACTTGTTCCCGGTGGGTGTTGGACTCCACCACGGCTGCCCTTTGTCACCAATTCTGTTCCCAACTTTTATGGACAGAACTTTCCTGGGGAGAGTTTCCCAAAGAATTCTTAACGCTATGTCATTCGTAAGTTCTATGTTAATAGATAGAACTTAGGAATGACGTAGTGTTAAGAAGGCTTCGGGAAACTCACCCCTGGTTAGCAGGTCTGTTTCCAAACACAGAGTCCATGATATTTGTTTTTAGGGCAGCCAGCACCGCTTTTATCTAGCTCTCTTTTCGACTTCCTGTATTAATTTTCATTTTTTTAGTCCTGTTCATGACTTGTTGTGTTATTCTAATAACCACTGCCTTCTCCAATTTACTGCACATTGCTTTGTAAACTTTAGTTTTCCGCTCCAATGACTCTAACCCCGCCTCCTGATGTCACGGACTCCCAACTCTGGCCCAGCAGTCTTTCGGGGCCAGAAAAATTAGCTCCGGCCTGGATGTATGAATGAATGGAACAACCGGGCCGGAATGTCATCATCTGATTAAAAATAAACAGCAATGCGATTCACAAATGTTAAGCAACATTAAGTAGAAATGTAGTAGAGTAGGAGGTATACAGTAAGTATTTGATGTAAAACGTAATAGAGTAAAAGTCAAAAGTGTCCATGACTAAATGTACTTACAGTAAGTACTGTACAAGTATATGACAGTAATTATGCTGGAATATGAAAAATGTAGACAAGTATAGTAAGAGAGTAATTGTACTTCGTTACTGGTGGCCAAGGGGCAAGGGGGTTTGGAGTGGGGTCCTCATGATGTGGTCCTGTTGGCTTCTTTGGGCTACGACCTACAGAATGCACTGGCATAGTTTTCAGTTGAGTGTGAAGCAGCCAGGATGAGGATCAGCACCTCCAAGTCTGAGGTCATGGTTCTCAACTGGAAAAAGGTGGATTGCTCTGTCCTGGTTGGGGATGGGTTGCTACCCTAAGCAGAGGAGTTTTAGTTTCTTGGGGCAGCAACCTGGGGCAGATCCAGGACACTCTGGAGAGATTATATCTTTCAGCTAGCCTGGGAAAATCTTGGTATTCCGCCGGAGGAGGTGGTTGGAGTGAGGGAAGTCTGTGCTTCTCTGCTTTGACTGCTGCTCCTGTGACCCAGCCCTGAATAAACAGTGAGAATGAATTGAAATGAATGAATGTATGTGTCTTGTGATAAACTACCATCCCGTCCAGGTTGGAACAGCCTTTTGACTATAATAGGTTCCAAACCCACCCCACAAGGGTAGGGGTTTCTATCATATTTTTTACTGGAAGTAGCACCAACCATTATTACTACTCTGTCTGGCAATCCGATGGACGAGTCTGGGTTTGGTGGTTGCCAGGAGAACGGTACTTGCCTGAGTGCATTGTGCCAAGTGTAAAGTTTAGTGGAGGGTGGATTATGGTGTGGGGTTCTTTTTCAAGGGTTGACCCCTTAGTCCCAGTGAAAGGAACTCTTAATGCTGCAGTATTCAAAGCCATGTTGGACAACGTCATGCTCCCAACTTCGTGGGAACAGTTTGGGGATGGCCCCTTCCTGTTCCAACATGACTATGCACCAGTGCATAAAGCAAGGTTCATAAGGACATGGATGAGTCTGGTATGGAGGAACTTGACTGGACTGCAGCCCTGACCTTAAGCTGTTAGAACACCTTTGAGATGAATTAGAGCAGAGACTGTGAGCCAGGCCTTCTCGTCCAACATCAGTGCCTGACCTCACAAATGCTCTTCTGGAAGAATGGTCAAAAATTCCCATAAACACACTCCTACACCTTGTGGACAGACTTCCCAGATGAGATGAAGCTGTTATAGCTGCAAAGGGTGGGCCAACTCCATATTAAAGCCTATATATTAAGAATGGGACGTCATTAAAGTTCATGTGTGTGTAAAGGCAGGGGTCCCAATACTTTTGGCAATATAGTGTATTATATTGTAGGGACCAATTGTCCCCAAAATGTAATAAAAACCTGTTATTTCTGACATAATTATTTTGGTGTCCTCAAGGGGGAACTCAGTTTTATAAAAAATCTTTTCTTCTTATTTTGTTCGGGTAGTAATGGTTAAGGTTAGGATTTTTGGGATAAGAGTTTTGCCCATAGAAATCAATGGACAGTCCCCACAAAGATATGGATAGAAATGTGTGTGTGTGTGTGTGAGAGAGAGAGAGAGAGAGAGACTATGTGTAACAGTACTTCTGGTGACTGGAGACTTTATTCATGTTGGATTGGCGGCTTTATAATTATTTTCAGAAGAATGGTTGGAAGGGGTTATGAGTAGAGGATTAGTTATATCCCCTGTATGAGAGGCAATCAGCACCGAGGCCTTTCTTAACAATCCCATTGTATCATGGAATCTCCACTACTAGAAGACTTAAGGATCCAGTGTGTCAGGAAAAAACAACCTGTGGAAAGACAGAATACAGAACAGAATGGCCTGTGACTCTATCCTGATTTGAACTTGCCTTTCATTCTACTTTCCTTTGTAACCTAGGAAATTTATTCTTACTTCTCTTTAATCCCTCAGTGCCTATATAAACCAGAGGAACATGTTTAAAAGGTACTTATTTCAGTTGTCTGTATCTATACGAAGAGAGACATTATGATATAATATAATGATGCTGCACCGGCCAAAACCATTTGCAATAAGGGTGAATCTTTCTAATGACTCATTTTCTTTCCCTTTTCCTTTAAGACTTTATGGTCGTAGACGTAACAGAACCAACACTAATAAACTCTTGCACATCATGCCTTTTCCAGTTACTGACCAGTTTTCTATCATCCATTTTCACTTAGTGTTTCTTTGCATTTAATTTTTAGTATAAATAGTGCTTGTTTCATTTAGGTCTAGTGGAAATATTCATTTGATATAACCGAATTTCATGTGGATATATTACATCCTTGCATTTTTCTGTACTCTCAATTTATCGTTTATTAAAAAAGATCAATGTCTTAAAGTTGAGCAGTCCGGACTGGATAAAGCTCAGAAATGCATGGGTGATAATCCACAAAGTTCTGAAAGTTCTGCAAAGTTCACCCTTCTTTATATGATGTGTATTACACTTCACTGTTAAGTATTTAATATGTGTTGCAGTTATAATGAAATATGTTTATTTAAATATTCTGTCTGATTTGTCTGTTACAATCTATAAGGTGTTTCTTTTGTAAATTTATTTGGCCCTTATTGATAGAATAATAAATAATTTGATAATGTCTATTTTTTTGTTATCTTATTATTGAATGTCATGCAGTCCTCTCATCATTTGCTGTAGCCATATGGTCATGTGGTGTAACCAACAATGGAAGGAATTAAATCCTAAATTACATTTTAAATACTATGCAGCTATGTCTCGCTCCTGCTTTTCATTGTATTTAATTGGCTAGCCTAGTTATCTGGGTTAACCCGTTCCTTCAGTGTGAGGGATTGTACACTTAATGTCCAGTTATTCAGTGCAGTGCTTCCCTGCTTATCCCCATGTACCTGAGCGTCTTCTTGTGTCGTTTCAAT